GAACACGGACCAAGGTGAATGTGTCACCACTTGGGCTCAAGCTGTCGACGATGCCACAAGACGACGCACAAGCTTACTACATACCAAGTGCACGCAAACGCACAACTGCCTAACCCAGACCGAAGCCTCAACCTACGCGCCAAAGGCACCGAACGGAGTAACCTGCTGGGTCGTCAAAAGATGACCCCGGGCAACTTGATAGTCGCAGTAGTCGGCAGCAGCGAATATCATACATAGCGTCATGTTGATCAGGTTGCCATCCCATGCAACAGTCCTTTCTGTGGCAGGATTGGCACTAGAAGTCATGGATAACATGCTGACACCAATAAAGGCGAAAACATCTAGCAGCTACTACAAGCATAATCTTTACAATTGTACCGGAATAGATATAGCTGCAATGACCTGAACATGTAATGAATCTAGTACAAACATAGTTGGTATACATAGAATTTTAAAGACACAGAGGTATAGATCATATGGGTAAAGTGCGAAGAATACTTTCGCTCCTGGTCTGATCCCAAGTCCCGGCAGCGCTCTTCCGTGGCGTTGTCCGTATCCTTGCTGAGGATTACACAGGGATTAGCTGGGCTTGGGGGGTTTAGGGATTCGTGTTTATAGATTAGTCTAGGAGTTTAGGGTTTAGTAGTAGGGTCTATAGTTTATAGATGAGTTTAGGGCCTTAGGGCTTAGATGAGTTTAGTCAGGGGTTGTGGGGTTTCGGGCAAGATGCCCGGGCTCGCGAGCTTTGGGCTTTGCTCAAAGAACGCAAGGGCTGGGGCGTTTGGGCTTGTAGGGTGTTGGTGAGGGTTGGAGGTTCGTCTTGGGGGGTCTGAGTCCTACGGCTTCTTGCTTTCAGGATTGAGGATGTTTGGGTTCAAGATGTTCGAGTGGTATGGAGTTTGGCTTCCGTTTACAAGGTTGCAGGATTCAGGCCGGTGTCTTTACGAATCCCTCTGCACGTGCAGAATAAACTTCTCAAGTTAAAGCTCTGAAGTCTTAATCACCAACCAAAGATAACCTCGACACTGAACTCCAGCTCAAACCTCTATGACCATGCCATTGACTTGACGCGCCTCCATAACTCGAGGAAGACACGAACGGCAATCCAAAATTCCAAACGCTTCAAAGACTCCTGCATGAAGCGGGGCCAGTTGCTGGAATTGGCCGTCCTGGAGGACTTGGAGGCTTGTTTGCTCCCCTGCAAGCACTGTAATTCTGAGCGCGCTGCTGAACTTTAAGCTTTATATTACTTTATGTGTTGCCGTGCACTATAATGTCCAAAGTTCACAGCTAGTTGTCCCAGGATGTAGGTTGATTAGCAGAATAGCAACCACCAACCACCAACATCCACCCCCCCCCCCCCCCCCACTCTTCTCCCACCGCTGACAGCGAAGTCGCCCTTGTAAAAGGGTGGAGTCGAGCTAAAATTCCTGTTGAAGATGTAAAGCCGTGCCAAGCACGGGCACTCTTACTGTCTCGCAAATACATGTTACATCCGTCCCTCAACTCCCCCAGCCCCCCATGCTGAGGGTATTTCCGGGATCACCTAGGTCTTGGCATGGTCGAGGGTGCGCCTAGCGTTCCGGGGTGGCCTCTGAACCTGCAAAGGGTGGCAAAGTGGTGAGAGTGAGCAGGGATTCAGGAAGGAGTTCCCCATGATGTTAAAGCCCCAAAACCCCGGACAACCCCGAAAAAGGTGGCAGAGTGGCGGCGTGTGTACCAGCCCCAGGCCTTGTACAAGCGAAGCAACTGACATGTGCACCAGGAATGACGAACACACAATGCCGAACCACATGACAGTCGAGAAGTCATAATTTGCGCACAGCAAGAGCAAATGACACCGTGACCGCCGGGGCTCCAGATCTGGTCTTGCTAGATATGACGATGAAACCCCTTGATTAATCAACAAAGTCGGACTCCCAGTACTGATCAGCATAGAGATCCTAGTATGGTGAGCCCTTCAAACAGTGACGAATCCTTCATCAGTGGTCTGCATTAAGGTTTGGAAGACAGATGCAGATGAGCAGCTCCAAAGCAGAGCGTAAGCTCGTCATGTCGGCGCAGGTGATCACCGCCCTCTGCGAGAGGAGGGCCGCACGCTCGTGCAGATACCTGGGACTGAGGTGTGCAGGCTTAAGATCAGGGTTTAGGTGTTGTGTGTGTGTTCGAAGTTCGGAGGTTTGTGCGAGATTTCAGGCTCCCGGTGACCGCGAGATGTGCTCCTGCTGTTCTTTTTCCTAGGAGTTTCGCACGTGCTTGCAAACGGAATTCAGACTTGTTGAGGACCGAGCACAGCCAGGCTGCGGTGAATATATTCTTTTTTAAGTGTGTATATATATATATACATATATCTATATATATACATATATATATATACAATTATATACATGTATATGTTTGTTTGTTGGCTTTGTTCATGTATTTATGCATGTACTGATTAAATACGAAGTTATGCTCTGGCAATATTCGTAGCACCACCCAAAGACGTGCCAAATGTGCTTCCGCTGTTGGTTTGCTGCAGAAGCAAGCCGTTAGGCCATGAACTTGCTGCCCGCCGTAGCTTGCACTGCTCAGGGAACGAACCCGTCGTACACTCCTGAAGCCCTAAGTTCAAAACCTTGAAACACTAAAGCCAAAACCCTGCAAAAGCTAAGTGGGGACCTTTGCCGCACAGTCAACAAAGTCTCATCTCAGGATGTTTCAGGTCACTTGGGACACAGCGGGCTGCAAGGCTTCTACCCGGCTTTGAATTGCAAGCCTTTCTCAGGAACGTGGGTCCATCAGTGACAAGCCTAGGATCTAGAATCTCGAATACTTATCTCTTAGTTTGTGACTTCTGCAACTCGCATATCTTAGCGTTCCTCAAATCCCTTCTCTATCTGCTCAAGACCCGAGGAAGCCCAAAAGCGTAAAGACCATGGTGACATTATTTTACAGCTCTGCACTCGACTCGGATTCCTCTTCATTCGTTTCCCCACTCGTTTCCCCGCTCATCTCGGGGCAATCGAGGGGCAATTGAGAGCCGGATGCTTTCCTATCTTTTCGTGCCAAAATGAAATCGATGCTCAAAATGCCTGTGGCAGTAACCACGAGGGCGAAACAGATTTCGAAACCGTGCCTGTTGACAGCAAAGGACGAGAGTAGGGCTCCTCCCGCCTGAACAAACCACTCGACGGCACCGGCACTGATGGACTCATGCACCTCGGGAACCTCGTGGCAGATGTGGGCTAGGGCCACACCAAGAAATCCTGGGTTGTAGTTTTGGGGCCCTGAAAAGTATTTATGAATAGGTACCTCTATAGAAACCATAAGGGAAATTTTAAAGTTTCCCAAATTGCCACCAAGAAATCCTAAGGATGCGCCGCCGACCAAGGCCATGGCCAGAACGAGAGAACCGCGTCGGAGGGCGACGCTGGTGGAAGCCAGGAGAGGGGACACGATGATCGAAGCCGCTACCAGGCCCAAAGAGGCCGCAAGGAAGGCGGACAGAATCAGCCGATCTGGATTCCGAATCTCTCGAGCAGACAATACCATCCCAGAGACGACGCCGATGGCGATGAAGGATGCATCTGTCCACTTGGTGAAGGCTGGGGTCGTATGCAGAGTTTCCGAAATCAAGACATCCTGGACCGCAGGTATTGTGTAGCTTACCGCACCCAGGCTTGCGTAGCATGCCATCTTTAGGAAGAACCTTGGGTGCCTGCAGAGACTCCGGAGGTTTCTCCTGAGAGACGGTATCTCTTCCGGCAGTGCTTTACCCGCACTCTCATCGTGCAGAAGCAGGAAAAGTATTATGGCGGCAGTCACTGCAACGGCCTGCCAGAGCAGGAGTTGCTCCAGATCCTGCCGCTCCTGCACTACCGTCGGCTTCAAGAATGCACTCAAACAGGCACCCGCATAGTTCGCCTGGACACCGATACTCGTGGCCAAGATCTGCAATTCAGGTGGAAACCAGCGCTCTCCCATGACCGCAAAGGACATGCAACACACGGCGAAGGCCACTCCAATACAAACACTTGAGGCCATGCACATCGCCCAGCTTCCCTGGACGGTACTACCCCACCGTAACCACGCACCGACTGTGTTGAAAAATGCACCTGCGCCGAACACACAATAGCTTTGTCGCGGCAAAAAGTATGCCACTAAGAATGCCGTCGGCAAGGTTGTGAAGAGACCTAGACTGTATGTCATGGCAATGTCACCTTTGTCCACATCAAAGATGTGGGCGCTGAGATCACTGAGCACCACGAAATCAAAGAACATGACCTAGGTTCTCCAGTAACCCCTTAATAATGAGGGTGCCCTTTTTCCTACTATTTGGTTTCAATAAGGAGACCCCAAACCAAAAAGGGCAAAAGGGTACTACTGGGGAACCTAGTGACAGCATTGGCTGCAGCGCTGTAGCCGAAAGCAGCTAAGGTGAGCCAGCTGCGCCACATCGCCATGTCGCGCGTAGCAATGCTCTTGATGCTCTAAATAAAAGAAGCTACGGAGTGGTATGCAGCAAGGCCCCTAAACCCTAAACCCTAAACCATCATTATGGGTGTGGTCAGGCGACTGCAAGTGAAGCTCCTTAAGCTTTCATCGTAGGCAACACTCTCGGATTTGGAAGCTGACGCTATTACTCAAACCATCATGCCTCAGCTTGAAACCCGTAGTTACGGCTGCGATGAAGTGTCCAAGAATTGAAGGCTCTGGGTTGAGGGATTGTGGGTTCGAGCGCTTACCCAGGGCCCCGGCTGTATCCTCAACGCCACGATGGCGAAGCCCATCAGGGCGCAAGCACGGCGGCGGCAATATCTGCTGACCTGCAAAAGTGGAGCGAAGCTCATGTCGGACGACGCGCCGTCCTGTACCTCCTACACCTCGCCCGAACAAATCTGCCGAAAGCCGGAGCTCTACAAAACAACACCACCTGCCGGGCCGACATCCAAAACCCTTGAACTTCATATCGTAGATGCATGCACAAAACCCAAACCTATACTGATATATCCGAAGCCCCAAATCGACCTTAAACCCCGAGATCTGGGATATTGGGTTGGGGCCACAGAGAATGCGAGATCCCTAGACTCGCGCTCTGGGATAGGTCTCCTCAAGAGCTTAGTAGGGTTTCGGATTCTTAGGATTTAGGTTTCCGGCTTCTTAGGGTTTAGGGTTTAGGGTTTAGGGTTTCGGGTTTAGGGTTTAGGGTTTCGGGTTTCGGGTTTAGGGTTTCGGGTTTAGGGTTTAGGGTTTAGGGGGGTGTTGAGCTTAAGGCTTGGACAGGGTACAAGATCATGACATACCGACTGCGGCTTCAGAGTTGCAAGGCTTGTATCGAATCTTCGAACCTCCAGCATGTGAGTATTGAAGAGTTCAGCAAGCCCCCCAAACAAAAAACAGTACTAGTATTCATACTAATACCAATACTGATACCAATACTAGTATTAATACTAATACGTATACCAATATTAATACTACAAATACTAAGACTAATACTAATACTAATACTAATACTAATACTAATACTAATACTAATACTAATACTAATACTAATACTAATATAGAACCGCAAAGCTTAGGTCCGGAACCTGGAACCTGCGAGACGCCTGGCAGCAGTGCCAGTGCGACTGATCCCTCTCTGCTGGCTCGGTGGGCTCGGGCCTCGCAAGTACCGCAGAGCTCTGTCTGGTGCTTAGTAGGATAAGGGGGAATGGATCCCTATGATAGTCCCTTTAAGGTCCCTTATAGTAGTCCCTATAACCCATTCCCCCATTCCCTACTAAGCACCAGACAGTTCTTTCGGAGGCCCCTTATCAATCATAGCCCCATGGCATTTTTCCCATAATTTCAATGCTGATGCACTCAGGAGTATGTCGATTGAGACTAGTCTTATCGGCCATGAGTTCCCTTTCAAAGCTTTGAAGGGCTCTAGATTTGTTTTAGGATTTGGGGTTTAGAGCTTACATACTGAATCCTGTCATCCCAAAAGCCGCAGCCCAAACCCTGTACAGCCCTACACCCCAAGCACTACGCCGTATGTGTGCAAAGCGGAGTGGCGGCTCTCCATTCCGTCTCCGCTGGAACCTTAGGGTTACGGGCTGTGGTTCTCAGTTCCAGGGTGAGTTTTCAAGTTCCACGCTTTGAGGCATGTGATGCAGGCCTGACGGAGAGAGTTGAGGAGACTGCCAGAGACAATGGAACTTTCCCTTCTTCCTGCCATGGCGTCCTGGCATGCCGTGAACCTGTATGGGAGCTTCTTGGGCCTACGGCGTACGTTATGCGGTGTTCTTGCCATGAAGGTGCTGATGTACAAAACGTTGCATCTTGAGGTCCCCAACCCTAAACCCTAAACCCTAAATCCTAAACCGCATATTTGTGCTGGGCCGCAGAGCTCGGCTGTTCTGCAGCACTTCCAGGCTCCACTTTCCCAGGGCCATGGCAGCACATTGATGGCTTCAGGGCATCATTGCTGCTGGAGGCTAAGGGGCTTGGTGATGAGAGTTCTGAGCCGCCACAACTTTGCTTGAAAAGGGTTGAGGCTTTACAAGGTTCAGGTCAGATTAGAAGGTGTGTAAATGGTCTGAGACTTGGGGCAAGGGTCTTGCCTCGTAGGTCGAGCTTCTTCAGTGCTTCTCAGCGTCTTCGGCGCAGGGGGCTTCTAGAGGCTTTGGATTTAGGGGCGGCCAGGTCTCCACAATCCTAAGCTCAAGGCGCGCAGCGACCAGGGGTTCGAGAATTTGTAGATTCGGGCTTCATCAATCCGATACAGTTGGGCTCGGTCTCGGGGAGCCTGAGGGGCTTCAAACTACAACCCCTGTGCAGAGGTAGCCGGGAGCTCAGCAGACCATCATACAGCCTCACTGTGATTCCCACCGAAAGACAGACTCCCCGAAAACCTTCATCCGGTTCATTCCATGAAGCTGAAAGCGTAAAGCCAACTTCGCACAGTCGCAGCCCAGTCTTGCAGCTGGGTGCTAGGCCCTGCTAGGCTTTCAAGCACAGGGATGACAAGTGCTGAGGGCTCAGGAGGTTTAGGGTTTAGGGTTTTGGGTTTAGGGTCTAGGGGGAAATCCAGCATCTCCTACAACTTGTCCCATGTTGCGACCATCCAGTGGACAGTTCGTCACTGTGGACCCTGACATTTCCGCTACCTCTGTTACTGCTACTGCAGCTACGAGGACGGCGATGAGTGCCATGACTTCTCTCATCTGCTTGATACCCGTGACTGTGGGAAACGACTGCATGGTGGCCCAGGGCACTTCATTCCGGAAGCCACATCCAGAAGTATCTGCCACAAGGGTTGGCTTAGGGGGTTTAGGGTTCGGACTTAAGGCTACGGCTCAGGGTTTAGGATTTAGGTTTGGATTTAAGGCTTATGGCTGTAGGTTCAGGAGTTCATGGCTCCAAGGATCAAGGGGTGGAGGGTTTAGTGAGCTTACAGTTCAAGGGGCGGTTGCCAGGCCGAAATGGTGTCCTGCGCTGCAGGACTTGGTGCTTCGATGGGCCCTAGCCAGCAACAAGAGAGTTTCGGAGCAAAGGTTTCGAGCTTCGGAACCTTGGGCAACAAGTTGTAGCGACCGCGTCCGGAAACATGCGACCTTTCGCACACACGTGCGGCGAATCGTTCACACACTTGGCACAAGACAGCGAACACTCGTCTTCGAAATACCTGGAAACGTTCTAGCTCGAAACGTTCTCATCTAGTCTTGCTGACCAATCCCACGAAGATGCTGCTTCGAGGCATCATGTGCCCTGAACTTGAAAACCCTGAAATCGAAGGACTCAAATCAAGACCCGCCACCCTGAACCCTGACCACGCCCGCAAATCGTAATATGCGTAGTTCTCTACGTTCTCGTCGCTTCTTGGACCGCTCAAAACGGTCAGTAGAAAGGATCCCACAAGGAGCCGAAGGTAGAGAAGATCCCCAAATACCCTAAACCCTAAACCCTAAACCCTAAACCCTAAACCCTAAACCCTAAACCGTGCACGGGTGCTTTCACTACAGTGGACCTTTCCCCCTGTACAAGCGCTTTCACTACAGTGGACCTAGTGCAAAACAAGCCCTGAACCTTGAACCCCTGAACCCTAGACTCCAAAACCGTAAACCCTATCGACACCTCTACACCTCTAAACCCTAAACCCTAAACCCTAAACCCCTAAACCCTAAACCCTAAACCCTAAATCCCTAAACCCTGAACCCTAAACCCTCCACCCTAAGCAAACGAAGCCCCGCAGGACCTTGACCTGCTGCCACAGGGACAGTTCTTGGTCACCTCGAGCACGGCCCGGAGGGCTTTAGGGTCTGGGGTTTAGGGGTTTAGGGTCTAGGGGTTTAGGGTTTAGGGTTTAGGGTTCAGGGTTTAGGGTTTAGGGTTTAGGGGTTTAGGGTTTAGGGAAGTAGGGTTTAGGGTTTAGGGATTTAGAGCTCGAGGCCCTAGCCCGGCAAAAGTCAAACTCCAAAACCCTCCGGCAGGAAGGTTGGTAGCTAGTCCCGAGTAGCGAAAGCTTGCAAATGAGGTCTGTTCAGGTGTTTTGCTTCAGGACAAATTGAACACACACACACACAAACAGAAAACAAAGACCAACAAACATTATGGGCAGGCATGGCCTGCTTCCTCTGCTCCTCTCTCCTACTGCTACTGCGGTGGCACAACAGCCAAGTGCAGGGGTCACCGTTCGGCCTCAAATGTCTAACAGCTTAGCAGTTCAAGCTGGGCATCCGCCCTCAGCTTGGGACCCTGGCCTTTTGAAAACTTACCCACCCTGAAGTCGAAATTATGGAAATCTTGAGCCGAAATCTCTAAATACTCAAAACCAGAAGTCAATCCCTAAAACAAGGATGCACGTCACCCAGATTACCGCAGAGTTCTTGAGACTAACTACAGCTACTACCACTGTTGCTGCTGCTACTTCTACTCCTACTCCTACTNNACTCCCACTCCCACTCCCACTACCACGACCACGACCACGACTACTACGACCACCACCACCACCATCACCACCACCACCACCACGACTACTACTACTACTACTACTACTACTACTACTACTACTACTCTGCTGCAGCCAAGTGGCTGTTGTAAAGGAGGTCGAAAAGGCTCCCACCTGAAGTGTCGGGTTTCCGGTTTACGGCTGAGGGCTTTGGATATCTGGTTCAAGAACGAAGGCTCAGGGTTCAGGGCCTTGTGATTTTAGCTTAGGATGTACGGACGTTAGGGCTTGCAGTTGAGGACGCTGAGCTCTAAACCCTTGAGTGCCAAGGGGGAGCACACAAACTGATTTGCCAATGGTCTCTGCTGTTGAGCTCTAAATGATTCGCGATGGGCGGGATAGAAGTGCTTGTTCCTAAAGGCGTCGTAAAATTGCAAGGGGTCTTACGGGTTTGCAAGCATGGAACAAAAGCCGACGATGTTCGACTTGCATGGCTGTGCCAACCTAAAGAATCAATCTCAATGCAATGGGCACGAAGTCCAATGGTTCGGAGCGCATTCGCATTAGACCCTGAAATCACACTATTTCACACTTAACCGGGCACGGATTTCTTGATGATGATGATGATGATGATGATAATGAGGATGATGTTGATGGTGATGATGGTGATGATGGTGATGATGATGATGATGATGATGATGATGATGATGACGACGATGATCGTGACGACGATGATGGTGACAACGATGATGGTGGTGGTGGTGGTGATGATGAAGAGGCTGATGAAGATGAAGAAGATGATGATGAGTGGGTAGTGAAGGCGATGATGAGATCGACGACGACGAGGAGCATGATGATGGTGATGAAGCTGATGATGACGACGGCGACGATGATGATGACGATGCGCATGATGAGTGATAAAGATACTGATGGTAGTTATGAGGATCGTTTACAGCACGGCGGTCGAAATTATGTTGCTGTTGATGACGGAAGTGATGGTTGCGACTGTGACTGCTGCTGCCTTCTCGGCCTTGTCATGCGTTTTTCAGCACTGTCCCGCCCTTTGCATGAGTCCTATGGCTGCGAATACCACCGCCACCACCACCACCACCACCACAACCACCGCCACCGCGACGACTAGAACACTCAAGCATATCCCTTAGCATCAAAATTGCCCAAAGGCCGTGTATTCTAGGGTATTTGGGCCCAAAAGCCTTAAAATATAAGTCCTCGAGGGTGAGGGTATTGCTTAATGTGGAAACACACAGAATTTTTCTCATCAGCAATACGATTCTGATACATTCAAATCTCCCGCAGACAGCCTGCTAAGAACTCGGTGATGATCAGGTACGGAGGTTCCAACCTCGGTGAGTTTGGTTCAGAGTCGGGAACAGCAACCTTAACCCCGGGCAGCAGGACGTCTACCTAAATCCAACCCTACACCAGGCGCACCAGGTCCGGGGTCTTCAGATGGGGCTGCGTAGGTTCCGGGGCAGGGAGCGCCCATACCACAAACGCTGAAACTCGAAACCTAACTGCGAGCCCATCCTGACCCTAACTGAGAGCCCAAACGTCGAATCCACGCACTTGACGAGGTTGGGATGCTCCTGATTCGGAAGGCTGCAGGATTTACTAGGATTTATGCAATAGGATTGCGAGGTTTGTGGATTGAGGGTTGTTGGATGTCCTGAGATGCTGTGACTCTGGATGACGGAGCTTGCACCACCGGCGTGAAGTGGCTTCATGGTTTACAGGGTGTGTAATATTGCTTAATTATACAGTCTGTAAGATTGGTAGAGCTTTTTCAGTGCTCATGGGGCCTACGTGATTTAGTTGTTTGAGTGCTGCCCTTTGGGGTCGAGGTATTCATTCCTGCTCCCACTGTGTCGAACTCCTTTGTGAAGCGTGTGCTTGTTCGGAACAAGCAATGGAACTTCCATGTGAGCTGAAGACAACGAGCATGCCTCAACCAAGACACACGGCACTTGTGTGTGCGTGCGGTCGGTCCGTCAGCATCGTGAGCCGTTCTCTATTCCTGTAGACTTCACCTGCCAGGATCAGAAGCTGAGATGTATGGCTCGGCACTCCAAATTTCAATTTCCTTTGCACAAGGCTTACATAGCTCTATGGGGTTACAGTTTGGGGTCCAACAAGGAGCGAATCACGCTTGGATTCGGGGGGTTGCTCAGAAGTAGGCTTACCCCTCCAGGTACCTATCCGAGCATAACTATGCTAGTTTGGCGTAAGCCAGTCGCTCAACATTGAACTCTGCACTTTTTTATTTTATTATTATTTTTTTTTTTTGGGGGGGGGGGGGGGGTTGGGGTTAGGGNNTTTTTTTTTGGGGGGGGGGTGGGGTTGGGGTCGAGAGCAACCTGGCTTCTGGAACATGCATTGTGGCAGGGTCGGTCATCCCCACAAACGCGAGCATGGGAACCTCCAGAACCTGTCGGTTGCCTGTAAAGTTGTCATGGCATGGCAGATTAGCTGGATGCACACTCTGACTGTTGAAGATCAAGCCCTAGATTGCACCAGAAACCCAAGCACCGCTGCGCAGGATCAGCAATCAGCCAGGTTCACCAAGATCCGTGTGCATCTGCTTCACAGCCTCAGACGCTTCATGGACTGTCATGAGGGCTCTAGGACGGCACTTGGTAACCAGAGGGCACCGGCAAAATGAGCTGCCCTCACTCCTTTGGAGCTTCTCAAAGGACTGAGGACCCGGGCCACAATTATCGAGCTTGTGCCAGCAGCAAAAGTGCGGGTCCATTCCGCCTGAAGCCAAGTGGCAGAAAGTCGCAGGGCTGCCGATCACGGGTTCTAGGATTTAGGGATGGGTCGGGGCTCAGAGGTTCAAGATTTCAGCGTTCAGAGGCCTTTGCCAAAGGCGACGTTGACAACAAGTCATAGCAGTAGCAGCGGTGTAATGAGTCAGAGGTGATAAGTGCCACTATTTATGATGCCCACAATGAGCGGTATTCCTGCTAGGGCCAGAACAGTAGTGGTAGTCAAATGAAGCACTCAGGGATCTCGGACAATCGGTGTGGAAGCCAGTGAGCCACTCCGATACATGCCATGTGCTGGCTTGAACAACTCTATTCGAGAACCTTTTCATCGTTCAATGCATTCCAAGAGTCATCAGCACTAAGGCACACGCCCCCAACCGGCCTCAACCCTAACAGCGAGGCGCTAAACGTGAGACCCCTAGATACTGCTCAGCGCGAAGGCCATGGAATACATACAAACAAGGTCCAGCAGGTCCCAAACGTCCGCTTTCATTATGTCTTGTATGTCTTGTTGGGGACATAGCTCTCGTGATGGGAAGATACGCACAACTTCGTGTACGAGTCTCGCCTTGTAAACGTTTGCATGGGCACCGGCACCGAGAACAGAGAGAATTCGCAGCTCGCTGGGCTTGACCGTGAAGAACCTTTTCGGGCTTCGAGGGCTAGGCTTTGGGGCTGTGAAGAACCTTTTGCAAGGGGGCCGGGTATGGTTTCGGGATGCAGGATTCGGCAGGGCGGCTGAGGAAGTCATGTTTAGGACAGAAGCTAAGGGGAAAGAGACTTAATGTCAAGGTCACGCGGAATTTCGGAAGGGCCTCACAGGCCAATGCAAAACAGGCATCAACGCAGCTTACGGGCCTTCGTGTCTGTCGCTTTCTGCGGTGTTTAAGCGTCTTCTTGACTTGTTCATGGGCGTCTGTTCATGTTCATCGAGGCCGACTGGGCCGATGCGCCTAGGCACGCATTTGACAACACCTTGGATTGAGCCTTAGCGGGTTAATTCGGGCGCAGGGTTTCGAAGCTTGGGATTCTGCTTTGGGCTAAGGCCAAGTGATGGCAGATGCCCCAACTCTCGACCACTCTTGTGTTGCAAAAGCGCTTGGAAACAACTCGAGTTGTACCCTCGCCCCAACTAGCAGACAGCCAAGCAAGCAGGAATCGAAGGTTTCAGTCTGCTAGCCAAAGCCCAGCATGGCACAAACAGGCCCCGAAGGTCTTGAGAAGCTGACAGCGCAGTGTTCAGCGCAGCGTCATCGATCCTTTCATGCCGGAGGGTCGGGAGCTTCGTAGCTTGCCCATGTAAACCCCAAACCCCAACACATATGAACAGAAGCCGGAAGCCAGCGAACCCCGAAGCCCTAAACATCCCGAAACCATCAAATCGAAAAGTGCCAAACCATGCCAAACCCGTTTTTGCCCCAGATTGATTAGTCCTGGGCTCGGGTGGTGTTGGGCTTCGATGAGTGTGGGGTCGATAACATCAGCACAGGTATCCAGCTAGCTGCCAGAACAACTTGTTCGAGCGTAACGTGACAAAAACACAATACTGAATAAGTGTTGACACCATACAGAAGTAGACAAACTCTTCGCACGCACAAGAACGAGTCTCATGCTTCGCACTCGGTGTAGCGGTGCCTGTTAGGCGTTCTCTACTGTTCTACATCCTAGTCCTATATCACTATCAAGGTGGCGCCGTGGATGGTGATAGTTGTGAATCTCCACATGGCATCAGAACGTCAAAGGCCCCAAACGACCTGGGGCACCGTTTCGTCGAAGACCCCTAACTTACCATGCCGTGTGAATTGGCAGTTAGGGCTTTCAGCACCTTAGTACGAATCGAGATTTGCCTAGACGTAGCCGTCGCTACCTTTCGTAATTACAAGCCAACATCAGCTTCGGGCACTCTCATGGTCCTTTCCGTTGTCATCGGAAAGCTATCCCACCCCGCAACCTCCCCTTCTTCCCGTGGCGCCTGTCGGCTAGGTCCTCAACCTCCACGTGCGGTTTCTGCATCTATGCATCCTTTTCCTTGGCATGTGCTGATGGTGCTCAAGGCATGATGATGCGGGGGGCAGACCGTGACGATGGTGATGCAGGCGATGGTGTCGAATGACGCTGACGACTAAGAGGCCTAAGATGACGATGATTGTGATAGTGACGACGATGATGACACTGCTGATCTGAGCAAGAACTGTAACAAGTTACTGAACAGACAGTTTGTATTAGGCACGGGAAGCCTTACAGCTCTAGGTCTGACACATGCTTCAGACAGTCCCTGCAAAGCTCGGGAACCACGGAACGCATGAACTCTAAATAGACCCAAATGCCTGGAAGCCCTACAGTATACCCTCAAACCTATGCCCCAAGCCCAAACCACAGTTCCCGAATACCCCAATAACCTCCAAGTGGGGCAGAGGCACACAGCAAAGGACACACATTTGCAGAGCCGAGTCTGGCTGTACTTGGGCCAGGACTGCGATGTGCCAATATCGGAAGGGAAGGTCCCCATCCCTAAGTTAGGGCCTGAGTAAGTCTTGGGGGTATATTCTGTAGTAACTGTGATCTGGAACCCTTTTATAGGGACCCTACAGACACAGTGTGTTGCATTATGATCGCCTTAGGGTTTCTGATTCTGTAGGCCCCGCTTCCCTGAACGTACAGAGGCGGTTTGCAAAAGGGTTTACGGGTTTACTGATCAGAAGTCTACGTTGCACCCCAGGACCCAGAAACCGCTTAAGGGCAAGCGTCTTCGTCGAGGGCCTACCCTCAACCATCCTTCGACACCACCAGCCAGACAAAGCAGAGAGAGCCTAAACCCCAACTTGCCGACAAAGTCGAGTACAGCTTGGCCCTGCGCTGAGCTGCTAAGGAACAAGAAACCGGTCCGTCCTTTCCATTAGGAAAGTATTTGTCCTGATCATTCTTCTTGGTGTCTTGCTGGAATGTAACACAGCCAAAGCCAAGAGCAGTAAGCCCGAAGCCTTTCAATCCTGAACCCGCCCGTGCAGTTTAGCTTTTGAACTGCTGCAGCGCCACTTTGAAAAGCATGCAAGGCCACAGCTTGAGTGCGGCCCGCTTGCATTAGCTGGATTCAAGACTGGACTGTCTCACATGGAGGCTTCCTGAGTTTGGGGAGGCCAAGTTATTATATATTGTGCTCGTATATGAGGGTCCTTTATGCTTAACTCCTGAATTATATGCTGAACTAAATCCGCATAGACTGTCATAATTGGTCGCCAACAACAACAACCAACCAACCAACCACAACAACAACAACAACAGCAGGCCATCAAGGGAACCCTTGTGTGCAGAAGCTTCCAAATCGGAACACCAGCAACCACAGCCCTGTGGCTCGCGAGGTCTCCCCAAAACGCCCACTTGCGCCACAACCCGCAGCTCTTGGCTTCAATGTGACAACCTCAAGACCTGAAAAAAACCTAAAGCATCGTTATCCTCTGAACCCTGAACCCTAAAGCATCGCAGGGCCCTCCTTTGTACATTTCAGATCCTCTGCGAGCCCAGAGGGAAGCTCAAGCACCTGGCTTCATGTAGACCCCTGATTGAATAGATCCCTTGAAGGCATGATCATAGGAACGAGTAGGGATCCCAATACGACCGAAAGGGGTCGATTTAAAGGCACTGGGATTTGATGATTGAGAGTCTGCAAAGACAAGTGGCAGGCTGACTGACACCTTGCAGCATTTGGGACGCGATTCCTTTTCAGCCATCTCATCCGTCAGACGTCAGATCAATGCAGGCAGAGCCACCACTCGCTCCTTCAAGACATTTTCCTCGTTCGGGGGTGCATGGTTGACGTGACTCTGGGCTTGCTCTACCATCTAGTGCCTTGGCTTCTTGAACATAGAAGCATCCGACGCACTTCCTCACGCATTTGCTAGCGTTCCTTCATCTCCTGCTCACGAAGCAGGGATTCCCTGATTCCCTCTTGTCATTTTCCAGCTTTCTCTTGTCATTTCCCAACTTCATCCCTTCGTTTTCAAGCTTCATCTCCTCTAGCTCCTGCTCCCGACCCGGAGGTCCAAAGAAGAAAGCTCGCCAGGAGAGCAGCGACGACATCTGCACGCATGTCTTGTTGCGGTGGCAAGCTGCCAAAGCAGCTGCTGGGCATCTCTCGGCTGCACTATACAAGGTGGCAGCAACGACGGCCGTAGTCTGAGTGAGTCGAGCGATCACGGGAAGATCATCAAGTCCGAATGAATCTGGAATATGACCCTAGTTCTGCCCGCATTCCGTTGGCTTTGGATGCATCATCTCGAAACTGAAAGGCGATCTTTAGGCCCACCTCGGTCAGCTTCTCTCCAGCGGCCAGGGCCCTGGCAATGCTATTGGCTGAAGCAGCCGAGGTTATGAGGTCCAAGTTGAAGGTCTGTTTGCGGGCGGGTCTTGTTGCACCGAACTGCGTACAGGCTTCTGCATCAGCGTACGAAGTCCGAAACTTATGTCGGTTAGATGGTAGAGTACTACGTGCAAAGACTGCAAAGACAGACAATCGACAAGTCACAACCTTTCGGGTCTTGGAGTTCCTGCAGCACTGGTCTAAAAGAAAACTAGTGTGATGAAGCCCGAATGAAGCGAATCTGATGGCCGTATGTTCTACTGGTTTTCAAATTGGACTCTTCATTTGGCATAGGATCACCAGGGCTCCATTGCTTCTTGTCTCCCCTCTCCGCCCCTTCCCACCTCAACCACCCCACCAAAGTTCGGGGTTTGAGCTTAGGCTTGACGGCTTCGGCGAAGAGGCGGGCCGAAACGCTAGTAGCAGGCTGCAGGAGGAATGATGTATATAGGGTGGCAGATGATGTGAGGAACTTACCCCAAACTCTGCCTCCGTGACCCCGTGAAGCGTTATCAACAAAAATGGTACCTGCACTCGCCTCAACAGCCTGGAGCCCCAAGCCTATCCCTTACACCCGAAGCCCCAAGGTCTTCCGAGGTCCTCAGTCAACTAGACAACCCCGGGGAACCCTGAATTAACACTCAAGCACTGCACTCTGCGCCCTCATGGAAACAGCTGATTCTACGTATTCCCTACTGAGTTCGAATTTGGTACCCTAAACCCTACACCCT